CGCGTCGAATGCTATACTTGGTGTTCGGGTGAAGTCAACTTAAGGTGTTAACCTCGGGTCAAGGTCAGGTCGGAGCCCCTCAGGTCACGAAAATGGTTGAAGGAGGTCATATCGCATATCATTCGATTTGGCAGGTCTTCCTGAGTCCAATGGTGGCTTTCCCGACTCTCTAGCTCCATCTGATCAGGAGTTATTGACGAAAAACTTATATGGCCTTAGTGACGTCATAAATGGCGTCACGCAAAGTCAACAATGCTAAAGTGAAGCACTGGACCTTGCAAGGAGTGCATGAAACCATTCCCGGTGCCCGAATAGCAGCTCCCAATTTCCCTTGTTGACTTAAAGTGGTGCTAGATCCTGTATTATACTCAATTATGACGTCATAACTTAACAGATTCACGTCATATATTTAGTGCTTGACATCCAAATGATAGCTTACATATGACAGAGAAGGTATGCAAAGTTTTATGAAGTTTGTTTCACTAGTTGTGGAATAACAAGCAAAAAACTTTTGCGGAAAGGCCGCTGGCCTCTCGCTGGAGCGTTTCCGACCAGTGTGCGCCGGCCCGCCGCGCGGACCGCCAAACCGGCTCGGCTGGTGGGCGGGTCGCGGGGCGGGTCGGCGGGCAGGGGCGCCGCCTCGCGAGATGGCACACACAGAAAAATATTAACACCGTTAGCGGTGTAATTGCACAGTACATATCTGAGCACTTGAGGAAAGTTAATTTAGTCCCTTCCCCGCTTAAATTACTCGCGCTTCCAAATGAACACCAGGAAGAAGGTAATAGAACACTGTTAGGAGGGTTGGGTGTTTTGCTACATGTAGTAAAACATCCAACCCTCCTAACAGTGTTCTATTACCTTCTTCCTGGTGTTCATTTGGAAGCGCGAGTAATTTAAGCGGGGAAGGGACTAAATTAACTTTCCTCAAGTGCTCAGATATGTACTGTGCAATTACACCGCTAACGGTGTCAATATTTTTCTGTGTGCAGCATGGGGCGCGAGGCGGCGCGGGCGGGGGCCGGCGGCCCGTCTGAGGCGCCGGGGTGGCTCACAGTCTTCCCGGCGGGGAGGTTACCTACAGATCTCCCCGGGGTTGCGCCTCCCCGGCTTGGCCGGGCGGGCCGCACGACACGGTGCCCGTAGTGGGGCACGCTTTGAGGTGCCGAGGTCGTAGAGTGGGGGGGGGGGACTGGAGAATGGTAATAGCGGGGCATGTGTTGAGTATGGAAAAATGAATGTAATGATGTGGTGTCTTGTTTCATTCTGTTGTGTTTCAATGTGCTCAATAAATTGTGTTGCCGGAAAAAAAAAACTCATTGAAGAATAGCGCTCGCATACTTCAAAAGGGTTGGCACCGTTCTTCAACATCTGATATGTGATCGGGTTATGGCACAGTTTTTCCCATTGGAGCTTTTTCTAATACAGCAATAACAATAAGAAAAGCGTTTCATCGTCCACTGGCGGATCCAGGGAGCGGGCATTTAAAGCAAATATTTACTCCCCCTTTCCCTGGCCCCTGCATCGCCCGAAATAGACAAAACGTACCTACCTTATGTTTCCTAATAATAACACTTTTATCAGGATTTTTTTTGCTTTATACTGTTCAACAGTAGGTCCGTAAGGAATCGAAATCCGAGGAGTTTTTTTTTATTTTGGACACTTTTTGGGGGGTATGTCCCCTACAGCGTCGAAAACGCCTTTCTGGATTCGCCTATTGACATCATCTCGACTGGGATCTTGCCCCCCCCCCCACGCCAAAATCGAATCCGCCGTCACTGATTTGGATTGAAATACCAAATACCAAGTTGGTATCGGTTTGGTATCGGTATACCAAAAAGTCGGTATCCGATTGACATCTCTAGTCCGTGCGCTGGTTGCATGGGTGTAGTTTTCCAAAAATCATTGGGGGTGCTCAATAGCTTTCAGAAAGGCATGCCATATTTTTGTAGTTATTTTTTTTCAGCTGTTCTTTTTTACTGTAGCCATCAGGCATCATGCAAGAGATGATGGTAAATCGGTTCGAGAGCTTGTTTTAGTAGCGCCACTGTAAAACAATTTTGGCTCACCCAATGCATTCATAATCACGGAAGTTTTGGAACATATTTCGGAACACGATGGGTTTAAAATTTAAATTCAGGCCCTATCGGACTTTTGGTAGGTCCGCGCTTAGGCAGCCTGGTCTGCATAGCTCTGCACGAATGAGCTTATATTGAGGGCTATGCTATCCAACATGACGCCTGACGGGACAGGCTCGATGGTTACTCTCCGGACATGGTTCTCGTGAAATATTGCATTTTGTCCCTGGAACTTTAACCCTCGCCGGCACAGGCCATTTTGCGTCCTTCGATGACACAAGGGAGGGGGTAAGACCCCCCCCCCTCGCGTTTGGCCTCTGATCGAGCTAGAGCTTCGCGGAAAAAAACGAGCGTGTTGCCCGTCACGAGAAAAAGCCGACGATGCCCAATTTTAAGGTCCTACGTCATCGATTGACCTTACAGGTCAGGTCAATGACCCAAAAGTCGGGAAAATCGGGACCTGTTAGAAAGTCGTAAAGTGTGGTTGCTATGGGGTTTCCGGGGTGCTGATCACGAATATCGTGTTAGTTTTGATCACAGATGATGTCTTTAAGCATTTAGACCAGGTCGGGTCAGGTCAGGTCAACCGGTAGGGGCCGTGACGGGTATTTGTAGTATGTGTCAACCGCCTCTGACAGCTTCGTTACATGTTACGAAGGCACCAAAACTACTTCGTAAATGTTCAAATGGTTGCTTAATTCGAATTCAGCTAAAAACACTAGCCTAGAAACATGTAAAACTCGAATAAGTGAACCAAGATCACCAAATGTAAATGACCTGACCTGATCTTTAGGTGACCTTGACATCCACCCTAATGCATGGGAGCAACATCAAATCACATGTTTAAACGTTTGAAACCACGAAAAGCTTGCAAAAGCGCGCGGCTAAACTCACTAAAGCAAGCCGACATACGCCGAATCGCGATTCCGGCCAAACATGGTCTCGGAAAGTAGGTCACAGGTCAAAGGTCATTTGGGTCAGGGTCATGAAATTTTTAGAGTAGGTGTAAAATTGATCAATGCGAGGGTACTGAAAGTTTCGTCGCGATCGGCCGCTTTTTACGCGAGATATTCGCGAAAAACCTTTGGGAGGGGGTTGCGTCAACCCTGTGCCGGCGAGGGTTGAATAATAACGCTATACTTATGCATAATACTTGCCGTGCTATATTTACATTTACTTACTCAAAAATGATTTAATTTGATTAAAAATATTTAAAGAAATAGCACATAGATTTCAATAAACGAAAGTCATAGATTTGCTGCGGGATGCTGGGGCTCCTCATGAGCAGCATGGAGATGCCGATTGCCAGCTTGTCCACCTGCAGCGCGTCTCGAGCACAGGGCGATACTATGCGCGTTCAATGCTCATGTTAGGTCCGTCCTCCAATACGGAAGTGTCATTTGGAGCAGTGCAGTCCAGTCCCACCTGGTACGGCTGGAGCGGCTACAGCACTGCTTTCTCATGTGGCCAGGGGCGCAGAGGAACTGTCCTATGGACTATCGTAGTCTACTGCAAACCTTTAACCCTCGCCGGCACAGGCCATTTTGAATCCTTCGACGGCACAAGGGGGGGAGGTTGATACGACCCCCCCCTCGCGTTTAGCCCCTGATGGAGCTCGAGCTTCGCGGAAAAAACGAGCGTATTGTCCGTCACGAGAGGAAGCCAATGATACCCAATTTTGAGGTCCTAGGTCATCGGTTGACCTTCCAGGTCAGGTCAATGACCCAAAAATCGGGAATATCGGGACCTGTTAGAAAGTCGTAAAGTGTGGCTGCTAAGGGGGTTTCCGGGGTGCTGACCACGAATATCGTGTTAGTTTTGATCACAGATGATGTCGTTAAGCGTTTAGACCAGGTCGGGTCAGGTCAGGTCAGGTCAACCGGTAGGGGTCGTGACGGGTATTCGTAGTACCTGTCATCCGCCTCTGACAGCTTCGTAACATGTTACGAAGGCACCAACACTACTTTGTAAATGTTCAAATGGTTGCCAATTTCGAATTCAGCTCCAAAAACTAGCATAGAAACATGTAAAACTCGAAAAAGTGAACCGAGGTCACCAAACGTCAATGACCTGACCTGACCTCCAGGTGACCTTGACACCCACCCTAATGCATGGGAGCAATATCAAATCACATGCTTGAACGTTTGAAACCACGAAAAGCTTGCAAACGCGCGGCTAATGCGAGCCGACATACGCCGAATCGCGATTCCGGCCAAACATGGTCTCGGAAAAGAGGTCGCAGGTCAAAGGTCATTTGGGTCAGGGTCATGAAATTTTCAGGGTAGGTGTAAAATTGATTAATGCGAGGGTAATGAAAGTTTCGTCGTGATCGGCCACTTTTTACGCGAGTTATTCGCGAAAAACCTTAGGGGGGTTGCATCAACCCCCCCCCCCCCCTGTGCCGGCGAGGGTTAAAACTGAGTCTATCAAAGCCCGCCTCATTCATACCGATGTCATGTTCTTGTACCAACTCCTTCACCACCGTGCCGACTGCGCTTACCTGGTATCGATGTTTGGCCTTAACCCTCGCTGGCACAGGGGGGAGTGGGGGGGGGGGGGGTTGATGCAACCTTCTCACCCTCGGGGGGTTTGTTGTAACGGGGGGTTTGTTTGTTTGTGGGGGGGGGGGTTGTGGTAATTTATTCAATGTATATTCTCTTAGTCACTGAATTGAGTAAACATAGTATTTGCATGATTCACTGAGCTCATTACAGTGCTAGGAGATGGAAATACTGATTATTGAGGGCCTTGAGTCAGCTGGGAATGTTTTGAGGAGGCTGTGGGTGCTTTAAGGAGGCAGGGGGTGCTGAGCTCAGGATTGGGGGTGCTTGAGCACCCACAAAGAGATATAAAGTTACGCTTATGGCTGGTTGAGAACATATGGATAAATCTTTGTTTTCAAGTATTGTACAACTTTTTCAGAACATTGCCTGGATCTAGCAAGTTCTACATAAAAAGGAGAATGGTCAAAAAGGCTCTTGTTCTGGTGGCTGAAGGCACGGAGGAAATGGAAGCCGTCACCATCGTTGATGTACTACGCCGTGCGGAGGTGAGACCCGTCGGTGATGATGATTTGGGGGTTGGTAGCGCCCGGGCCGCAGTGGTGCTGCCCTAACATACTATAGTACGGTTGAAGAAAGTGAAAGCAGAGGGGATGCTAGGGATATCCCAAAATCAAAGCTCTTAGCCGCGACACGTTCGTCGTTCATGCACCCGATGAGAGTATGAAAGGGCAGGACATATGCTTAAAAGACCGTAGGACGTCTTTGAATGGGTGTGATCTGATTGATCATCTAAGACGTCCTCCAAACCAAGGCCACTGGTGATTTCAGGCGTTGTTCAGGCGTGTTCCCGCTGGTATATTTTACCTATACCACTGACTGCAGACATGGGTACGGCTCAAAATCGAATCATGAATCGACTCAGAACCAGACGTTTTTTGTCTGAATCATGAGTCGAGTCGAATCAACAGCTTGCGAAGCCGCTTGAGTCATGAGTTCACTGGCGGTCGCAGCCGTTAGCAAATGGGGGGGGGGCAAAGTCACACTCGCGGGACGTAACATTTATCCGTCAACCGGGGGGGGGGGTCAGCTTAACCCTCGCCCGTAGGGGGGTCGAACGGACCCCCCATGGTTTTTCGCGAATAACTCGCGTAAAAAGCGGCCGATCGCGACGAAACTTTCAGTACCCTCGCGTTCATCAATTTCACACCTACCCTGAAAATTTCATGACCCTGACCCAAATGACCTTTGACCTGTGACCTACTTTTCGAGACCACGCTTGGCTGGAATCGCGATTGGGCGTATGTCGGCTCGCATTAGCCGCGCGTTTGCAGTCTTTTCGTGGTTTCAAGCGTTCAAACATGTGATATGATGTTGCCCCCATGCATTAGGGTGGGTGTCAAGGTCACCTGAAGGTCAGGTTAGGTCATTGACCTTTGATGACCTCGGCTCACTTTTTCGAGTTTTACATGTATCTAGGCCAGTTTTTGGAGCTGAATTCGAATTTAGCAACCATATGAACATTTACGAAGTAGTTTTGGTGCCTTCGTAACATGTTACGAAGCTGTCAGAGGCGGTTGCCACCTACTTATACGAATACCCTTACTGGTTGACCTGACCTGACCTGACCCGACCTGGCCTAAATACATGAAGACATCATCTGTGATCAAAACTAACATGATATTCGTGATCAGCACCCCGAAAAAACCCATAGTAGCCACACTTTACGACTTTCTAACAGATCCCGATTTTCCCGCCTTTGGGGTCATTGACCTGACCTGCAAGGTCAACCATTGACCCAGGACCTTAAAATTGGGTATCATCGGCTTCCTCTCGTCACGGGCAACACGCTCGTTTTTTCCGCGAAGCTCTAGCTCGATCAGGGGCGAAACGGGAAGGGGGGTGTCCAACGGACCCCCCCCCCCCCCTTATACGTTCGCGGCTGGAAAAACACCAATACGGGCGAGGGTTAAGCTAAGTTTTTACTTTTGTAGCAAAATCGACGCCGCATAGCGCCGTGCAGTTGGCATTACTTATGCTACATCCATCTCATTCTTACGTACAATTTTTGAACTCAATTTAAGGCAAAATGGTCATTTCACGATGGAACCGTGCAAATTATATTAGCGGGAAGTTGCGCCCTAGTCACCTCCCACCTCCGCCAGCGCCAGGTCGTGCCTCAACACGGAACAGGCCGTGCCACCTAGGTGCGCCGGGGAGAACTACAGGTCGCATAGTGCCACCAGATGTCGCGCACCCACGACAGGCGCAGATATATAGATTTTAGATCGTGGGTGATATATTGTAACAGCGTTGATTTCTACCATGCATGTATTTTAGCAACTCACAGCGTGGGCGCAGGCACTGGAACCACAACGGCTACCACAACTGCACGTAAGTATGTCCGACATACGACTTATGTTTGGACTCACACACACACACACACAATGTTTATTATCAAAGACAGAAAGATTCCGGAAGAATGCAGCAGAGGGATGCAAAAGCGCAAAGCGCTTGAGTTTGAGCATCACTCCGGAAGAAGAAAATACAAACAAACAGACAAAAACATACCAGATGAGATCCTAAACTTAAGATACAGAACACATTTGATAGGCAAAACTCAAAGTATACGAGTTGGCTGTCGCCGCCACGACAGACACCGAGCAGTAAAGCAGTGTGCGCGAGCCACCGCACGGTCAGCCCGGAGCGCCACGTCCAACCGCAGCCTGACAACCTAGATCAAGGTGGTATCTTGGTGTTGAATTTAGTGTTCTGTAAACCGGTTTGATGATAAAATGAATTTTTGAAAGAGATGTGCGACCGCGCAGCCGCTCTCATCGTCCAGAGTTTCACCGTGAATAAGAAAGTCAAGTTTTTGCTTAGGAGAAATTTCATTTAGCTCAATACCTATTTGATAAGAAATAGTTTGAAACATTTCTAGCCTTAGTGGTTCGTAGAGTGCACAGTCAAGGATATAATGCCGAACGTTCTCGTTTGGAAAGCCACAAGCACACATTGATGTTTCACTTTTTTGAATTTGGAAGAGATGAGAGTTCAGGTGACTCATTCCGGTTCTTAGTCTTGTGTGTAAAATATTTCCCAATTTAGACCAGTTTCATAAAATTTTGGAGGCTTGGTCACCCCCAGCCGCTCAGAAATGGTCTTTTTGAAGGATGTTCGTGGCAGGGATCGGATGGTTTCGGGGAGATCATTCCAGTGTTTAGCCGTTAATGGAAAAAATGAATTATGGTACGAAGTGGTCCGGCTAGGTGTCGTTGTATGTGTACTGGCATTCCTTAAGACTCGTCCGGTGTTTTCAGCGCGTGTGTGAGGCATTGTATTTTTAATATATTGTGGTGTGTACTCTTCGTGGCTGTTGAATGAGTGATAAAGTGTTATTCTATGCATGCGTCTTCTCGTCGATAGTCTATCCCACCCTAAGTCGAGTAAAAGCTTGTCAGTTGGTGTTCTAAATAAGGTTGCTGTCACGAGTATTGCCGCTCTGTTTTGTAGTCTCTCGAGTCGCATGGCGTCGTGTGTCGTGATATGTCCGTCGTATACTGTGTCGCAATAGTCGAAGTGTGGTCTGATATACGTCTTATAAATTTGGTCGAGAATGGGCCTGGGTACGTACTGTGCAATTGGATATAGTGGGCTTAGTGATTGGTTGACCTTTTTACAAATTTTGTTGATGTGATGGTGAAAATGTAGGTCATTGGAGAATGTTAATCCCAGATGAGTATGGTTTTCATGAATGGGTATGGGATTCCTACCAAATGTGAGACGTGGTGCTGTGAAATTATTTCTACGTGAAAATGTTTGCTGGACTGTCTTTGTTGTGTTGAATGTAATTGCCCATTTTCTGCCATATTTATATATTTCGTCAAGGTCGCGTTGAAGTGAAAGTTCTACGTCGTGGAGGTCTGTCGTTGAGTGGGATGCGTGAAGAGATGTGTCGTCTGCGAAAAGTAAAATTTCATTGTCGATGTTTTGTTGAATTCCGTTAAGATACATTAAGGCTAAGAGAGGTCCGAGTACAGAGCCTTGAGGACAGCCAGCGTTAACAATTTGTTGGTTCGAAAAGGTGTTGTTTATTTGCACTCGTTGTCGTCTGTCACTGAGGTAGGAAGTCAACCATTTTAACAGTGAGTCAGTTATGCCAAAGTCATGTTTGCATTTGTATAATAGTCCTTGGTGCCAGATCTTGTCAAAATATTTTGATATGTCCAGGTAAATTACTGTGAAGTCATGTCCTGAGTCGAGTGATTTGTGCATGTTATGGGTCAAATAAAGTAATTGTTGTTCCGTGCTGTGCTTTTTCCGGTATCCACTCTGTTTGTCAGTCAATAATAAGTGTTCTGTTAAATGATAATAAATGCGTTTGTGGACAATTTTTTCAAAAACTTTTGAAAGGGAAGATAAAAGACTGATGGGTCGGTAACAGGTATAATCAGATGGTGATCCATTATTTTTATATATGGGTCTCACATTGGCCTGTTTAAACGTTGAAGGATAAATTCCAGACGCGAGAGACTTATTAAACAATTTCGAAAGTGGGCCTGCTATGATGAGTGCACATAATTTTAATATTTTTACTGGGATTTTGTCCGGGCCAGTGGATTTATTAGAGTCAAGGGAGTTTAAGATTCGTAGGACTTCTCTCTCAGTTGTCTCAATTGTACCGAGGGTGGGAATCGTCGTGTGTCCTATGTTGTCCATTGGTACGGTGTGCGAATTTGGAATGTCGAGCTTTGCCTGACTGGCAAAGTAGTCGTTTAACAATGTCGCCTTTTCGTAGTCGTCTGTCAGTACTTTTCCGTCAGTCGTTTCTAGCGGTGGAATGATGCTGTCAACTGTCTTACCTGTTAATTTGCGAAGTGTTTGGTGGTACTTGTGCGGGTCTTGTTTGTGCTGTAAGAGTTTCTGAACTTGGCTTTGTATGTGGGTTTGTCTTAGTCGTTTGTTTACCGCCGTTACGATGTTACGCTGATATTTCCATCTTTCCCAGTCGTAAGTGGTCTGAGTCTGTTTAGCCCGTCTGAAGAGTCTGTCACGCTTTCTTATTTGTTTAATCAAGTCTGATGTCACCCATGGTTTTTTTACGCTGGTTCACTGGTATCTTCTTATGTGGTATTGATGTCTCGGCGGCTTTTAAGATGGCAGATGTGAATTGTTCCGCTGCTATATCTACGTCATTGTCGATAATATGATCCCAGTCCGTGTCTATAAGAAGTCTGGTAAAAAGATCAGCATCAAGTCTCGTATAGTCCCAGATTGTCTTAAACGTAACGTCAGTGTTTGATGAACTGTGTGTTGTACGCAGTGATGTAGTTACAGGAAGGTGGTCCAAAGTTGAGAATGCTGAGAGCGTGTCACTGTGTAGAATAATGTCAGTATTATTTGTAAAAATTAAGTCTCTCAGGTTACTGACGTTGTCAGTTATGCGTGTTGGCTGTGATATGAGTTGCTTCATGTCTAGCATGGATGAGATAATAATGGATTGGTGTCTCCGCAGTTTTTGGCGACATTGAGCTCAGGCCTGCCATCT